CACAGTGAAGGGCCACTAATAAATGTGTATCTCATCATCTGGTTAGTAAAGGCGTTCTTATTAATAATCTCATGATGTTGTAAATAAAAAAGTTTTATTCTATACTCTAAAACGTAACCTTAGTCAATAAAAAAAGCAATTAAAATAAAATAGTTGCGTTAAATTGGCGTCGAGGAATCGCGATTAGCTGATCACTCCGTATTAGTTTTAAATAGGTACCCATTGTTAATATAATGTTAACACTTAGAGAAGTAGGTATCTATATATAAACGTTTGAGTTTTACACAGAGCGTTGCGATTAAACGTTTTAAACACAAATAGAAAATAAATATTTTTAAAAGAAAATTGTGATTTTTTCCCCACAACTAGCAACATTTGTATTATGAGAGCTTAGGTAAGTATTTTTTTAGTTTTACGTACTTATAATGAATTAAATGTATAAACTTATATGTAAAATGTAATACCATCACTTCTTTTATGTTTATCATCACCGTTGTGACAATATTTTACAACACAAACGGTAATTTTTACAATTCTTCGCGAGCTCTTCTCCGTAAGGCGTGACGTTGCGCACTGACGCCTCCATAGATAATACACTATATACCAGGGACGCCTCGCTGAGTCAACTAACGCGGTTTCGCGTTAGTTTTACTTGCTTCACTTTCGGTGCGCGTACTAGTATTCTATGCGTAATAATTCTATGATTATGACTTTCGAAGTGGTTTAACACAAAAACAGTGTGTTGACCGGATAATTTCTGCATTTGGTGATGAAGCCCCATCCAAAACCACAATTTATCGCTGGTTTGATGAATTTCAACGTGGACGTGTCAAGCTCAGTGATGATTCCCGTCAAGGTCATCCAAAAATTGCAGTCACCCAAGAAAACGTTGATGCTGTGCGTAAGCTGATTGAGGAAGATCGACATGTGACATACCGCGAAATTCAGGCAACTTTAGACATTGGCATGAGTCAAATACAAATAATCTTGTATGAACAATTAGGTGTAAAAAAGTTGTTTTCCCGATGGATACCGCATTCGCTCTGTGAAGAACAAAAAGCGCCTCTCGTTACTTGGTGCGTCAGAACTCTCGAAAGATTCCACGCAGGATCCTCAAATGCTGTATACAACATCGTATCAGGTGACGAATCCTGGATATACGCGTACGAACCCGAAACAAAAAACCAGTCACGAGTTTGGGTGTTCGAAAATGAGTTAAAGCCAACAAAAATTGTTCGTTCACGGTGTTGTAAAAAAAAAGGTGGCCACGTTTGTCTCCAAAACCGGCCATGTTACGAGTATTCCTCTTGAGGGACAAAGAACGGTTAATGCAGAATGGTATGCTAGCATTTGTTTGTCACAGGTCATTTCTGAACTCCGTAAAGAGAACTGCAACGGCCGCATCATCCTCCATCACGACAATGCGAGTTCTCACACCGCACACAGAAAAAAAGAGTTTTTAGAGCAAGAAAACATAGAATTATTAGACCATCCGCCGTACAGCCCCGACCTAAGCCCTAATGATTTCTATACTTTCTCTAAAATAAAGAATAAATTTCGTGAACAGAGCTTTTCATCACCTGAAGAAGCTGTGGACGCCTACAAAACGGCCATTTTGGAGACCCCAACTTCCGAATGGAATGGTTGCTTCAATGATTGGTTCCATCGTATGGAAAAATGTGTCAAATTTCGCGGAGAATACTTCGAAAAGCAATAAATACATTTTTAAATAGTAATGTTGCGTCACTTCCTTGATTCCCGAAATTTTCAGTGCCGCCCTCGTACATATGAAATTCTCGTACAATTTATTTATGATTAATTTAATTAATAGAATCAGGCGTTACTTTGCGGAAATCCATTATATAAAAGTTTTTAGAAAAATTTACTTCGCAAACATCCGCGTTATAAAATAAAATGATGTGTCTTACCTAGTATGAAGAGCACCTCCCGCCCTCCATCAACTGCGTGCACTATCCCCGTCACCACTAATCCCAGCACCACTACTCCCAACACCACTACACTAGGCAAGACACACCACTGACGACAATACGACACGTGTTTCGCCTCTATACGAGGCATCCTCAGGTGATATAGACTCTACGGTGGCTAACCGCTACGTGAGCGGCTAGCCAAAACAACTGCCTTTTATACAGACCGATGACGCAACCGCTCTCTACTTAAGGAGCGAGCGACCGCGTCATGCGATAAAACATGCGACCAATCACCGCCGGACTTACGCAGCCGTTTGTAAAATTAAAACAAACCGCCGCGCAACGCCCGCCTACCCTCCAACCACGCAACCAATCGCCGATCACTGTGAGGGTGACAAACGACCATATTGCGAGGCTCTCTATTATTAGAGAGCAGGCTTAAAGATATGTAAGAGAGGTGAGTTAGTAACATTTGTTTGTTCATTCAGCAGTGCAACGTTACTATTAATACTTTTCAATATCTCCAACTGTGGAACAGCACACACAGTCGCAGCCCTTTATTACACGTATGGAAGACTTTAAAGGAGTGGTCGTTGGCTAGGTTATGTCCAGTGTCAAAAGATGTTTGGCAAAATGGGATTTATCAGGATTGCAATTCCTGTCCACTCATGCTAAGCCGGGGTGGATACAAAATAAAAAATATTTCACGGCAAATAATTTATTTGATATGATAATTTGTAACCACACGTGCATCGTAAAGTATAATAATATTCAAATCACAGCGATTCTAAAGTAGTTTTTACTTCAAAAGATATTAGCTTAACCGACCACACGAAACTGGTGCACAAGACAGAATAGTAGAAAAATAATGGTGGGGGTGCTACTAGCTCAAAAAGAGAACTCCATCCTGTTTAACCAACCTGGCTTTAGATAATAACTTATTAGCCCAGAAGTAAAGCTTATTCTGTATAATATGAAGTCAGAGCAACTAGCTTGCTAACTTACAAGCACGAGTTGCTATCCGTGCATTAAGTATCAAAATCGTCTTCAAACTATTATTTAAACGATAAAACTGGAGCAGCAATCATCTGTCGGTTAAATTCACGCGAAATTCCCCTAGCCTCCCCAATCGTTAGAGAAAATATAATTTTGCATATTTAAAAATAAATAAATAATATGTATATAGGTGTTACTAAATTTTAAAAGTTGATTGACTTCACATCACTAAAAAATAGGCGGAGCTTACAGCGTCCGCCATTTATTGTTTCAATTTGACACGATTTTTTTTGTAGCCTTGCCATCCTCTATTTTCTATGCTCAAAGGGTTGGTCACCCCTTTAGGGATATATATGTTCCTTGGCTGATCCTGTATCATTGTTTAAACAATGGTTTGAAGTGGATTTTGATATGTAAAAGTGGTGCGATTTTGTGTATTAAGTGTCTGCGCATGTGAACTATTAGTAGAAACGGTGAAACAAGTGCTCTGATGGTGATGTGATTCTCAAGATAAGGCGACTCTGCTTAGGTGCCTTGAGATACCATGCCTAATTGTCAGCTGTTTGCTGGCTCAATTTGTCGTCAAAATCACCCAAGGGCTGCACAATGTGACGCATCAACATATTGTGAAGCAGTGTACTATGAGGGATAATTATACATTGTAACTTCAAGCTCAGAAGGGCTAGAACCCAGAGCCGTAAAGCCAGTTATAAAAAAATGATCACGGGGAGACCGAAGTGGACCGGCGGGACTTAAGATTAAATAAAAAAAATGCAATAGCATATTTTTTATTAAAACAAATATACGACATCGTACGTAAACAATTCATTTAAACTGTAGTTAACTATAAACGTAGGTTGCTGAAGAAAAAAAAATAATTAAAACAACTACTGGCTCATAAAATTCACCATGTAGCATTTCACAGTTCACATCCAGGAATATATTTTGAGGACTGTAGTCCGCAAACATAGACTAATACGGCATACACCTCTCACACTCACCTCCTTAAAAAAAGGGAAGCGAATGCCGAGACTGACTTTTAAAATTAACAATAGGAAATAAAAAAAATAACTCAATAATGACGGAGTCAGTGCTGAAGGAAATAAAAACTGAACCCCTTTTAATAATATTCAAAAATACTTAGCTTGATTTAAATTATATATTTTAGTCAGTACAAAATCTCCAATACAACAACTAGATATATACAAACTTATGGATGCGACAATCTGCGGGGTTCACAAATTTGTCTTTCTGCAATTGCTAACGCTCATAGAAAACTGTAAAAATGAACGAGAAAGTCATATTATAACGTTAAGTCACGTGATTTTTACTAGTGATCTAGCGTTGATTTCATTCATTGCCATTCAAAATGCTTGTGTTTTTTCGGAGTGATTCACGAACTTTCGAGTTCGTGGTCTACACCCTACTGATAATAATAGATGTAAATAACAGATTAATAGATATGTCGATAAATAACTCACTTATCTAATTCAATAATTTATTTGAATGCAGCATAAATCGTAAAACAAGTATAATTTCTCAGACATTTATATATAAGTACATGTATCCAATTTTTACCCGACTGCCAGGAGGGTAATGTTTTTCGAGGGTATGTATGTATATTTCTTTCGCACGCTCTGTAGCCTAAATGACATGATGGATTTAAATTCTAAACATAAACGGAGTCGTTAGAATCGTCTTAGTTGTAGTAGTAAAAAGTAAAAGCTTTTCTCTTTTTTTTTTTAATTACTGATTTAACCTTTGGGCTGGTTTATAATAAGGTGTTGTCCCACAATTGTATTTTATTGATTTTTCTGAAAGGACCTTCTTATATATCGTCTATTTATTGTCTTTGTATAATAAAACTTAGTGAACACTTTCAATACTATAGAATAACATTTTATACAACTGCAAAGCTGTCTGCAACGGCTTTTTAAAAGGTCAAACATAACATATTGCTAATAATTAAATTAAATATAATATCTTTTCAGTCACAGCAACCACAGATAACATTGTTGTCACAAACACAGCATGCCCTCACAAATGTTGTTTCAATATCTTAAATGGGGCTTTCTACTTGGGCCCGAGCATGTCTTCCGGACGGACCCACTGGTGGAACTGCTCCTCTGTGAGGTAGCCGAGTTTGATGGCAGCGTCCTTCAGTGTTGTGCCTTCTTTGTGCGCGGTTTTCGCGATTGTTGCCGCCTGGAACAATGTATATTTTATATAAATCGAAGTTTTATAAAGAGAGATTAGCATTGTTATAAAAACAGTGTGCAAAACCTCTCCCTATACGTGCTCGCCGGGGAAGGAAGACATGGTATGGAAACCTTTTTGTCTGCGGAATGTATTATTCAAGAAAATTTAAAAATATTTAAAAAATTGTAAATCCTGAAGTGTATTTCGATCCCATACATTATAATAAAAAATAATGTTACCGTTAATTGTCTCTACTTTTTTTGATCATTTAGTGGCGGTGTAAGATATCCACTACCGTCTTGTAGGTGTCGTAAAAGACGACATAGGGAAAAAACTAAGAGATGGGCAGCAGCGTCTTGCTAATAACAACTAAAAAATAAAAAACTGCGGTTGTTGACATCTATAGGGGAGGCCTACATTCACCAGTGTGTTTTCATAATTTTCTATAAATCTAACTATCAAATAATTAACAAAATTCGAAGAACTAGAATTTCTACTTTATAAAAACCGTATTTAGAAATTAAATAAGATTTATCAATGATAAGACACTATTTAGTGTGAAAATATCGTATCATAGCGGCTTGAAATATTTTGTTTATTTTCAAAATGCGCCCAACTAAATTTCAAGAGCCGCCCTTTCATTCAATAAATAATTAATATCTAGGCATATCATTATTAAAAACCGGACAAGTGCGAGTCGGACTACTCAAGGGTTACGTACCATCGTAATACGCATTTCTAGTAGGAGAGCCCCTTTTAATTTCTAATTTTTTTAAATTTTTATTATGTGTTTGTATAGCATAACAGAAAAAACACATTCTGTGAAAATTTTAACTGTCTACCTATTACGGATCATGAGATATAACCCGCTGACAGAGAGACGGACGGACAGCGGAAGATTAGTAATACGGTCCCGTTGGTTACCCTTTGGGTACGGAACCCTAAAAACGAAGAACCTTTACAACTTGGGGTTATAAAATGAAAATATTTTAATCAGTTGAATGCGTAGATAAATTTAGTGCCAAACTGTAACTTCTTTGTTTCACGGGAAGCCGCGTGTAGCTACAAAGCCGACTACATTTTTATACTTATTGGGACTAAAACCATTTCATTCATTCATGAATATTAAAGTCATAGGCTTCTCCCATAGATTGCTTCATAGGCGGTATGGCCACATTGATACTGTATTGTGGGTTAGCCGACCGGGAAAGAACACCATTTACAGCCTATGAAAAGCCCATAGCTGAACATGGGTCTATCGTTTGTCATAGATTGCCTTGCAGGGGAGATATTTAAAATAGCCAGGCTTCGCAGACAACCGCAAATTTTTATTTTTTAAAATTGTTATTAGTAAGACGATCTTCTGTTTTATCTCCTTCTGTATCTTAACACTTTCACTGTCCGGCTTTCAGGCAATAGTAAGATAATAGCAATGACCTATATCTAGTGCACGGGACAGTGAAAGGGTTAAGATGACACTCACAAAATGATATAAGAGTTGTGTATTTTCTTACGGAATGAACCGCCACTATACGGAAATGAAATTATGAAATCATTCTATATAAATAAAAAAGCCTTTTATTTCTTACAAACCAATAAAAGAGTAAGTAACAGTGTAATGACTTATTACTGAGGTAAGTGAGGGTACTATGGTCACTTCAAGCTTTGCCGTCCTATAAAACCTAAACTAGGAGGAAGACAACGACAAAAACACAAAGTCGTATACTTATCACTAATATATTTAGAAAAAAAAAATAGCAAACGAACTTTGGCAATAATCAGGAACACTTTGAAACGTCATCTTAAAAAACTAACTACACTACTCAATACTAAAATCGACAAAAATAATTACCATAATATCAACTGTCATAATGGCTTCGATAAAGCGTTTGACCTTTTATTATTTGATTGACTGACGAAGAGCTATCGTATCGCAGAACCATCTATGCAAACAAGGTTGTAGTGTTTGAGTTATAATAAAGTGACCATATTAGCCGGATGACAATATTACCCTCACGTACGTGATTATATCTGTTTTGTGTCTAATATTATTAATCTATATATTATTGTAGTAACTAATTTTTGTCTAGATAATTTGGTTTGCAAGAAACCATCTGCCTTTGGCTATTTCTAACCCAATTTTGGCCCCCTATCTTTGTGATGTTGTCTTGCAATCTCGCATGGGATTTGAAATCATTAACATGTTTCAATTACCTGTCATCTTTATTATATAAAATGTTTTTTTTTAATTTCAAAATAGAGTTTATGATGTTAGATAAACTCCATGCTGAAATTTAAAAAAAAACCTTGTGTATAATTTAACAGTAACGGATTTACGTAGAAGGGGTCATATGCATTATAGCCAAAAATATTATTCTCTTTTTGGTCTAACTGTAGTCAAGTATAAAACGACAGGAACTAAAAAAACAGCCTATAAAAGTCCACTGCTGAATATAGTCCTCCCCCACAGGTTGTTTCATAGGGGGGGATTTTGCCATGTTGGCCTCGCTTGGCAGGCGGGTTGGCAACCGCAGTTATTATTATTTTGAATTGTTATCAGGAAGATGCTGCTGCCCATCTCCTATTTTAGTTTCCCTCTGTCGCCTCTTACACACACGGAACGAAATGGTGTAGTGGATATTCTTCTACTGTCACTACACGGACTAAACAAAAACTTACTTAACCATAATAATATAATAGGCTACACAAAGAAACAGAATATAGACCATTTCGCAATTTGAAACTGACCTTATCGTATCCAATGTGTGGGTTGAGAGCGGTGACCAGCATAAGGGACTCGCGCATGATCTTGCTGATCTGCGCCTCGTTGGCTTTGATGCCTACAGCGCAATTCTTGTTGAACGCAGCGCAGCCATCACCTGAAATTGTAAAAAAAATATGATAAGATATGCAGAAAGCCGATGGATGAAGGTGGCTCAGGGTCTTGCTTTGTAGCATTCCTTAGGTGAGGACTTTATTTAGTAGTGGAATTGTGAAGGGCTGTCATGATGATGGTGATACATACATATATATGTATGATTCTGTTGGGCTATGTCGGTCACTATGGTTTTACTTCGGATATTCTCGTTTTCAAGTCTATCACGCGGAGAAACTCCGAGCATAGCCTTCTCCATAGCTCACTGAGTGATCTCTCTCTCATACGGCCAGCAGTGAAAGACCAATTTGTATTAGTAATAATAATAACAATATCCCCCACACCAAATTTTTGTCACGGCGCCCAGTATTAACGGAGAATAGCCATCTGTGTATCTCTTCAGACTGGAACACTCCCATCACCTAGTAAAGGTGGTGTGATTTGTATGCTGTGTTTTGTGGTATGTGGTGCATGTCGAGCATTTGCTGGCGTGCGTGGTCACACACACACACACACACCTGAACTAGATTTTCCTGCCCACCTATTAGTCGTATGGAGCGCAGCACGTTGGCGACAATCATGGGCTTGAAAACATTGAGCTCGAAGTGTCCGTTGGAGCCGCCGATGGTGCAGGCCACGTGGTTGCCCATCACCTGGGCGGCCACCATCGTCAGAGCCTCGCATTGCGTCGGGTTCACCTTGCCTGCATACATACATCGGTAATGATAAAAATTATGATTGTCTGATATGAATCACTGGAAATTGTTAACTGCATATTGAATATTTAGTAAACATAATATTATATTATTAAAAATAGTAATGTACATTCTGTAAATACTAGGAACAAGCAACTGGTGATTATACCAGTCACTCGACTCCCAAAGAATATGTAATTCCTTCATAGGCAATGTGCAATATTTTGTTTTCAGTTCAATATTCCAGAAAATATGAAGGAATTATCTATCAAAAATCTTAAAATTTTTATTAAGCAAAAATTTTTTAATTAGGGTTATAATATTATAAAAATCACCTACTACTGCTAGAGAGTACATGATTGATAAAATAATCTCTGGGAATGATGGGATCGGTACCATGTTGTTTTCAAATGTTTTCATATTTAACCCTCCGTGCACCAGGTGGGGTTTGACAAACCCCAGTCCTTGAAATTTCGCAATAATTTTAAAACTGTGGACGCACCAAAGCCAAAGTTCTCAGTAGCTGGAATTGGAACGTTGCTGCTCCGATCAGTGGCGCTAAGTCAGTCCAGCAGCAACTTCCAGACGAGCTACATGCGCTTAAAGTACGTATGGGCGTCACACACCCCACCTCGTACGGCACGTTGATAAAGAGGTAAGATATTTATTCGATGTAATTTATGTATATTTTTACTTATGTACGTTTAATTTATGTATCTTTAGCATTTTTAATGGATATTAATTCGTTACAGAAAATAGTTTACAAGAAAAATGGCGTATATCAAGAAAGTTGATATATTACAAGCATTTTTAGACGAAGGAGACAAGAATTAGAATTTGGAGGTTTAGGACCGGGATCTACAGGTGAATCTGAATTTTTGTATTCAGAGTGACACGAACAGCAAAGTCGATGCAGAAATACTTTCTTCTAATTTTGACAGTGACGACAATGTACCACTTTCAGAGATTCACCCGTCTAGACAAAGGTATTATATTGGCAAAGATAAGACGGCGAAGTGGCAAAAAGAACCATGCAGAAGCAATGTTCGCTGTAGAATAGAAAGCACAAACATTTGCCTGGTGGTATTGCTTTGATAAAAGGCCACTTAAACTCCAGAAGGCAGAACCAAAAGTTTCCAAGTAGGTCCCTTGGAAGCTTTTGGTTCTGCCTGCAATAGAATTGCTAAATATTTGATGTTTCGCCCGAAAATTAAACTAAACGCCCAGCAAGAACGTCTAATGCTCAAAAAGGATGCTTAAGTTGCCCTAGAAATAAAGATCGTATAACAAAATACTCACGTACAAAATGTTACGTGCCAATATATATGGAGCATACTGATTTTTTGTCAAGACGTGGTGAATTGAATACTGATGATCTCAATTCAAATTTATCTTTCCTGTGTTCAATATATGTTTAATTATTAAAAAATATATTGTTATTTCTAAAATTAAGATGATTGTGAAAATAAAAAGTGCCATTTTAAATTAGTACGTAAGAAAATGACTGTTAAGTTGCATATATTACAGAAGTTGTGTTTTTTTGTTCTTTTATAATAATAAATATTTTAATACATACTTTCTTTTCTGAGTTTTACTTAAACCTGATTATTATTATGTATTTATAAATACCTAATATTTAATTCCGCCAAAAAACAAAAAGATATGTAAATTTTGTTACTTTTTATTTTTGGGTTTGTCACACCCCACCTAGTATGGGACGAGACTTTTAGTCACCTGGTACACGGAGGGTTAATTGTATAACATATTAATGTAAATCAATGTTTAAAAGGAGTATCACTGGGTTTTTGCCGATTATTCCCTAGACAAAGGTTTTTTCCGAACCAGTGGTAAAAGCACAAATATAATTGACTTTCAATAAATATTCTTGTAAACTCAATTACGTAATAAATAAATATTATTTTATTCATGCAAAATGTAACGTAACTACTCGTGACGTAAGGTATCTGTCACCTTATTTCGTCACGTGGGTGTCGTAAGAAAGTCTATGATACGCTTCTTATAGATGGCGTTAGAAAGATGGTGGAGGGACGGTGGAGGGACAATGGAGAGACGGTGGAGGGACTTTGGAGGATCTTTGTAGGTGGGATGGAGGTGTAGTAGGACGGTGGCGGCGGCACCTGGCATGATGGAGGAGCCGGGCTCGTTCTCGGGCAGCAGCAGCTCGGCCAGGCCGCAGCGTGGGCCGGACGCCAGCAGGCGGATGTCGTTGGCCACCTTCATCAGCGACACGGCGATGGTGTTCAGCGCGCCCGACACCTCCACCATGGCGTCGTGGCACGCCAGCGCCTCGAACTTGTTCGGAGCAGTTTCGAACGGGATGCCTGTTACAACATAATGGGTTCGTAAGGCTGGACTTGCACATCCGGAATTCCTCTCTGAATTCATAATCTAAATTCATATATTATTAGTTAAGAGAGTCCAGAATTGCATACAATTTAACTATGCTCCACACACATTCAGATTTTTTCAGATTATCATTTTCTCAGATCTATCTGTAAAAATGACACTGACGAACGTTCTGATTCCGGGTCGGAATATTTAAGATTATGATTTTATAATGCGCGTTTTTCTATACATTTGAGGACGCAAGGACACACGCACACCGGAATCAGATTATGAATTATCAATAAGAACTTTCCTATGAAGTAAACTACCAATCAAGTATAAAAGTAATAAAGTAAACACATAAACAAATACTGTTTCTTTGTGAGAGAGGGTTGTACATGTATTACAAGCGATTTCAATAAACGCTACCCGTACTGTGCGGTCGTGTGGTTTCATTTACATACTACATACTATATTTAATGCTAGGATCGGACATTGGCCCTAACAAAAAGTACTCAATTGAGTAGAGTTTGAAATGCCCGAAGTGCGGTCGTGCAGTGCGATAGTGTGGTGTGGTCGTGTGGTTCAGCAGGGAGTGCCGTCGTGCGTTGCGATAATACGGTGCAATAGTGCCGTGCAATAGTTTGGTGTGGCCGTGCGTTGCAGTAGTGCTCTGCAATCGTGTGGTATAGTCGTGCGGTGCAGCAGGGTAGTGCGATAGAGTTGTACGATAGAGCGGTGCATGAGTACCGTGTGATAGTTTGGTGTGCTCGTACGGTGTAATAATGCAGTGTGGTCGTGCGGTGTAATAGTGCAGTGTGCTCGTGCGGTGTAATAGTACAGTGTGCTCGTGCGGTGTAATAGTACAGTGTGCTCGTGCGATGTAATAGTGCAGTGTGTCGTGAGGTGTAATAGTGCATTGTGGTCATGCGGTGCAATAGTGCCGTGCAAGTTTGGTGTGGCCGTGCGTTGCAGTAGTGCTCTGCAATCGTGTGGTATAGTCGTGCGGTGCAGCAGGGTAGTGCGATAGAGTTGTACGATAGAGCGGTGCATGAGTACCGTGTGATAGTTTGGTGTGCTCGTACGGTGTAATAATGCAGTGTGGTCGTGCGGTGTAATAGTGCAGTGTGCTCGTGCGGTGTAATAGTACAGTGTGCTCGTGCGGTGTAATAGTACAGTGTGCTCGTGCGGTGTAATAGTACAGTGTGGTCGTGCGGTGTAATAGTGCAGTGTGTCGTGAGGTGTAATAGTGCATTGTGGTCATGCGGTGCAATAGTGCCGTGCAAGTTTGGTGTGGCCGTGCGTTGCAGTAGTGCTCTGCAATCGTGTGGTATAGTCGTGCGGTGCAGCAGGGTAGTGCGATAGAGTTGTACGATAGAGCGGTGCATGAGTACCGTGTGATAGTTTGGTGTGCTCGTACGGTGTAATAATGCAGTGTGGTCGTGCGGTGTAATAGTGCAGTGTGTCGTGAGGTGTAATAGTGCATTGTGGTCATGCGGTGTAATAGTGCAGTGTGTCGTGAGGTGTAATAGTGCATTGTGGTCATGCGGTGTAATAGTGCAGTGTGTCGTGAGGTGTAATAGTGCATTGTGGTCATGCGGTGTAATAGTGCAGTGTGTCGTGAGGTGTAATAGTGCATTGTGGTCATGCGGTGTAATAGTGCAGTGTATCGTGCGGTGTAATAGTGCAGTGCCGTCGTGCGGGCGGGTACCGGTGAGCGCGGCGATCTCGGCGGCGCACTTCTCGGCGAAGCCGACGCGCGTGTTGAGGCCGGTGCCGACGGCGGTGCCGCCCAGCGCCAGGTAGTGCAGGCGCGGCAGCACGGCGCACACGCGCTGCACGCCGAACGTCAGCTGCGTCGCGTACCCGCTGAACTCCTGCCCCAAGGTCAGCGGAACCGCGTCCATCAAATGCGTCCTGCATACCACCACCATACCATTACCGTTACAGTATATTAAACTTGACTGCTGAACATAGGCCTCCCCCACAGATCGCCTCATATTTGTCATGCTTGGCAAGCAGGCTGACGTCGTTATTAGGAAGAGGTTTACCTTAGAGGTTTACCTCTGCGTTTCGCTTGGTGAGTGCAGGTGGCCGGAGGCCCTTTTTACTGGAAATGAGGCATTCCATCTTAATCCTCACGGGTGACAACGCATCTACATTTTCATTTGTAATAGAGGATAGATGTAGATATCTATGGGCCGCAGCAACCACTTACCATCAGGTGGGCTGTGTGCTCGTTTGTCACCCTTATCGTATAAAAAAATTAAAGTTTTTAAAAAGTTACCTCACGTACATCCGCTCGATAAAATAAAATTATGTGTCTTACCTAGTTTGAAGAGCACCTCCCTCAATTGTATGCACTATCTCTATCACCACTAATCTCAGCACCACTATACTAGGAAAGACACACGACTGACGACAATACGACGCGTGTTTCGCCTCTACACGAGGTATCTTCAGGTGATGTAGACAAAAAGCGTAGGCAAAAATACGATTGCGTTTTTTACTACACACACGATAGGCAAAAAACAGTTAATGATCAGTGGAACATCACCATTTCTTTGCCCAGATTCTTTAAAAAAAGTTAAGGAAAAACGAGCAAAAAGTCACGTTCTATTTGACAATGCTTCGGCGCAAACCGCGGACAAGACCAAGTCATTTTGCCGTCTGAAAAAGTGGAGCTCGTAATCCATCCCGCACACAGTCCAGACCTTGCACCATGCGACTGTTTTATTCTCCCAAAAATCAAAGATTTGACGAAAGCTTTGACATTTACGGAGCTAGAAGAAGCCGTGATAGCTTTCAGTCATCACGTGAAAAACCATCCTTAAGATCAATGGTCCTTATGTTTTCAAAAATGAAAATTAATAAATACATTAGTTTACATATAAATTTTACACATTCTACTACGTGCTCGGCTTGCCCTTAAGTCCTCTCAGAAATGAGAGGAGGCCTGCGCCTTGCAGAAAGACATATACTGTAAATTTAACATATAAATTGTTTTATTTATGAGTAACGCAAATTTTCAATACACCACACATACTTCGAAATTTATTTAATAGAAGTAAAGTGTTGTCAGAAGCTATTTCATCACCTTAACGAAAATCGACATGGATGATAATGGCATTATAAGATGCAACTATATGTACAAGTCGCGGCACGTAAGTCTAGCGCTGAAAGAAACGTGGGGGGGACGAAATATTTTTATTCGGATGTTGAGTTGTTGGAAAAACAATATGTTTAAATCTTTGACGAAAATAAATTAAACAATAATTATTTAGTCAGTTATATAATATAATATGACATAAAATTTGATAATTTAAATATTATGCTGTAATAGTGCAAGTAGAATTAAATGTATTTTTGCAGTCTGTATTTTTTTTTTGTAATTTAAGTAAAATTACTAATTACTACGTATATTATGTATTCATATTATTACGTACGTATATTACTAATATGTACACTATAAATGTACATACTTAGTAATACTTAGTATTTTTAAAGTTCAATAATTTTGTACACCAGAAATGGTTAATGCGTTGTACTAATTTTTTTCACAACAAGTGTAAAACACACATTATGTAAAATAAGTATGTGGCGGTAGGAAGGAAAAGGGGAGATCTTTCGCCGGGCAAGGTGTTCTGCCCGGGGAGCGGCCAACGCTCCGAGTGGTAGTTCGGAGCTATTCTATATATACTGTTTTAACTTCGGATCTTTGTTAGCGCGATTTAGGCTTCGATGTAATTTTTTTAATTGTAATCTTGTAATCTTTTTAACACATGGTACCTAATATGTATAAAGACTATATCGCTTCCAGCACTAGAGGTGATGTGATAATATTATTAAAATTATAATAATTACTTTGTATCTCATTATAAGTGAACCATTGTATGTTCTCATGAGACATAAAATTCTTTCAACCGATGTGTTTCGCTTGTGGCGCGATTACAGCGCCGCCACGAGTATGGAAATAAAAAAAAATATAGTTGCATCGTGTATATTACCATAGATGGCAGCACTACCATCTCATTTACTTACACCAGGTGTAAATAACCCAGAGCGACGCCGAAGAGTAGCGTTAAAGTGCGACACCTCTGGTACTGTCATCACCAATCTACCAGCCATACATTACATTTAGCCAAACCTTCCCTACAATAGGAGAGGTAGAAGAAGTAGATGGAGGAAGGAACAAGTAGAAAAATCAAAATTCAGTTGTCGTATCATCCTTAAGGACTATAAGAAACCAAAAAGACATTGTAACCAGTAAAAACTTGTCAGTCTCGAGCACAGGCACAGAGTAGCCAGCGTCTGTGTATTCTACGAGTATAGGATGCATTTTGAAGAGTATACTCAGGAATTACATTTTTTTATAACAGCAATATTAGCAGTTTTTTTTTAATAGAATAAGGGTGACAAACGAGCACACAGTCCACCTGATGGTAGGTGGTTGCTGTGGTCCATAGACATCTACATCTATCCTCGATTACGAATCGTCCGCCTGTAAAGACAGAGGTAGAAAATGTAGATGGAGTCATCACCCGTGATGACTAAGATGGAATGCCCCGTTTCCAGTAAAAACGGTTTAATCCTTAACTAAAGATAAATGTAGATGTCTATAGATAATTTAATATTCACGTAGCATTAGACGGACAGTGTCTTTGTGTGTCACCATTATTCTATGAAAAGAAAACCAATCAAAACCCCACCTGCCAATTTTGATGATCTTGTCGAACTCCTTGGACTTGGCCTGCAAGGTGTCCCTGAGGGCAACAAGTCCGGGCATAAGTCTATCGCGCAGTTCCATCGCGACAGCGATGTGCATGGCCGTAGGGTAAGTGTCGTTGGAGCTCTGCGACTTGTTCACGTGGTCGTTGGGATGCACCGGGTCCTTGCTGCCCAGCTTACCGCCCAGGATCTGGATCGCCCTGTTCGCGATCACCTGGAGGTGAAATTTGTGACTTGTGGCAATCAAATCTAATGAACTGAGCGAGGTCGATTCTGAACATGTTGTCGCTCCTGCCATTACAATGTATTTGGCATGTATGTTCTAATTTAATTGATCTATTGGACATGTATTCTTTAATTTATTTGACCTTTTTGACATGGTATCTTGTACTATTATTTATTATTTTAAACTGTAATTTGTAAACTAGCATGCTGGCGTTTTGCGCATTCTGTAAGCCAGCATGTACACTATTTAATTAATTAATTAAATAAATTAATTAATTACAGACATCGTAATTTTAGTACATAACTTAAAATAAAAATTTTAATAACCACCGAAACAAAAAGGGCTGATGATCTTCAAACGGCTGAAATGATATTCTTGAATCATAGCTAAGAACACTCTCGATCAAGTTACCTTTCAAACAAAAAAAAACTAAATGTAACTCGGTTCATCTATTTGGGAGGTACGATGCCAAAGGCAGACACAAATATATACATAAATAAATAGACCATCATAAAGGTAATAAAGGTCCTGTCACCAGGTAACACAATCTTACCTCGTTGGTGTTCATGTTGCTCTGAGTACCGGACCCGGTCTGCCAAATAACCAGCGGGAAATGGCCCTCGCGGTACAACTTTCCGGATATGACGTCATCCGCGGCTTGCATAATCGCTTCCGCTGAGGAAAAACATAATTGTTTAATTATGTGAACAGAAGAATCTGGAGTAGATATTAGATAAACATTTCTTAATATTTATAAGATACTGAGATTTTTACTAGCATAATTTAAAATGTGTACACTGACGATATGGCTACTCCATAAGCTGTCCTCATCTAGCGATGGAAAGAGCTATGCTCGGAGTTTCTCTGATGTATAAAATTCTTAAGGAAGCTATCCGCCAAAGAACCAAAATTAAGGACAGCCTTCCGACTGGTCATATCGGGTCGATTGGACATGTCGCAGAAGTGACAACCGGTGGAGTATACGTGTTGTGGAGTGGAGACCGGATCTAGGCAAACGGACCTGGGCACCCCCTAAATAGATGGAGCGACGATCTGCACAAGGTGGCTGGTAGAAATTGGATGTAGCCGAAGACCAGGCTAAGTGGCGCGCCTTGGGAGATGCCTATGCCCAGCAGTGGACTGCCTCAGGCTGATGATGATCATTTAAAAAAATAAGGCTAAAGAAGAGTTAACATTAATTTCCAAAATGCCTCCCCCTAATATATATCGCCCACCCAGTCTCCTTGCTATGCCACTGAATAACAGCGTATGAATGCAATGAACAAATGCCCAATTCATAACATATAAATAAAAAAAATCTTAAAAACTTTAGAAGAAAGTCAGCCGAGAGAACAAGCAGGGTTTAGAGCGGGCTTTTCTACAAATGACCACATATTCACTGTCATACAAATTATTGAAAGATATAATGAATACAACAAAAAACTCTACATCGCTTTTGTAGACTATTCAAAAGCATTTGACTCTATATATCATACATACCTGTGGCTGACGCTCCAAGAACAAGGAGTACATATTAAATATATCAAAATTCTGAAGGAAATATACAAACAGAGCAAGGCTGTGGTTAAATTAGAGAGAAAAGGAACACCATTTAATATTCAGAAAGGAGTGAGACAAGGTGATCCTATCTCGCCGTATTTATTTAACGCAATTTTAGAACATGTTTTTAGACAAGTTAATTGGCATAATATTGGCATAAAAATAAATGGAGAGTATATAAGCCACCTACGATTCACTGACGATGTTATCCTTATCAGTGAAAGTCATGCTGAACTAGAACACATGCTGATATCTCTAGATATAGAGAGTCGAAAGTGTGGACTCCATATGAATACTGAAAAAACGAGTCTCCTAACTAACAGTGTTAGAGTGCCTATGAAGGTGCAAAATACATTGATAGAGTATGTAGACAACTATGTCTATCTTGGGCAGAACATTTGTTTTTCAAACCAAACTGAAAATGAAGTCGACCGCAGAATAAAAAGTGCTTGGAAAAAATACTGGTCACTAAAAGAAATATTTAAGTCTCCCATACCGACGCGACTAAAAAAGAAAGCAATGGATACTATTATTCTTCCGACACTACTCTATGGCTGTCAAAGCTGGGCACTAAGAAAAACAATAATAAACAAACTTCAGGTCTTTCAGCGTGCAATAGAGAGGAACATGTTAGGCCTTAAGTTACGAGATAGACAAAAAAATAAAGAAATAAGAAAAACAACAAAAGTAATAGATGCTGCAGAACTAGCATGTAAATTAAAATGGAGATGGGCAGGCCACGTTGCAAGAGCTACAGATGGACGTTGGAGTGAGAGAGTCCTCCAATGGTACCCTCGCGAAGTACCACGGCCACGCGGTAGGCCCAGGCGCAGGTGGTGTGATGACATTGTGACCACAGCTGGCCACACCTGGATGAGACTCGCACAAGATAAACAAAAATGGCAAAAGATGGAGGAGGCCTTCACCCGCAAATGGGTACCCAAATAAATAAAAAATATATATATCAATGATTAGTAAAAAAAAAAGTAATAATTTAAATATTATGTAATCATAAGTAATCTGCTGTAAATTGATTTTCATAACATGTTATAACTAACCATTACATATTTTATTATTGTTATTATTACATATTTTATTAATGTTACTATTATTAATGGATTTAAATTGTTTAATAATGTAATCGCATTTCATTATTTTATATTTGATAATTATAAACTGTAGTTAATTGATATTTGATTTTAAGGATATTATATAACAATTTATTGAGCATAATTTACAAAATTTATTCTAAATTTTGGCAAATTTTATATCTTAATGTTTGTTGAAGTTTTCTTTGAAGCATGATTGGTTTTGTAAATGTAGATGATATTTTGTTAAATATTTAATTTTATGTATTTCATTTTTGGGAAATAAAGGCTTAAATAAATAAATAAATAAATTATGAACTTTTTGAAACAAGGAATCCACACTAAAACATAGATATTTCCCATAAAAAGTAGGGTAACACTTGCAATTATCGGAAAATTGCTAATTGTAGTATATTTTAACTCATTTATATATCATTTAACTCATTTTATATCAAGGCAATGCTTGACTACTATTCAACCTGATTGTAAGTGGTGATGCAGCCAAAGATGGTTAAGTGTATTGATATAGCTTAACAAAAGCATATTATACACTCTTTCCTTGAATACACTCATATAATCGAATGAAAAGACTTACAATGTTTTTATTTTATAGTAAAAGGGTGACAAACGAGCACACAGTTCAATTGTTGGTAAGTGGATGCTGTGGCCCATAGACATCTACATTTATCCTCGATTAAGAATCGAAATGTAGACGTATTGTCACCCCTGAGGACTAAGATGGATTTCCAGTAAAAATGGTCTCCGTTTCTCTACACTCACCATACGAAACACAGCAACATTAAGCTGCTATTTTACGCTGGTATTCTGTGAGGGCGTGGTCCTACACCGTGCTACAACCATAATGTAAAAAATGTGACTTTGTTAATTTGTCTGCTGGCAAATTATTCCACTTCTTTCTGCGGCATTTTGCAGCACCAGCGCGAAGTTTCGCAGTAATACATTGGGTATTTCAAATTTGGTATGGGCTAGTTCTGACGCCATACGACTTTAGGATATTTCCCATGTGCCCAATTCATAATATTACAGAAACGTTTCGTTCTCCGTAACGATCCATTATATTATATACGGGATACATCTAAAACCCAGTGTTTTTACATACTATTTATTGACTGCCTCGTTGGTCTACTGGTCGTAAGCGTGACTGCTGATCATATGGTCCTGGGTTCGAATCCCTGTTCAGGCCAAAATTAGTTATTAGATTTTTCTATCGAAAATTCTCAGTATAGCAGCTCGGAGCCAGGAAGTTGGGAGTGTTTCATTCCCGTTCCTCGGAAAGCCGTGCGCCGTTGGTCCTGTTCACTAGGAAGATTAAGATGACTTAAAATGGAACAATTTCAAGCGCTACGTAAGTTTTTGTACCAGTATTTTGTTTTTAAAAAGGCTTTTCGTGCACTTTATGTGCTATAAAACTGTCCTTAAAAGAAAACGAAGCGCCTTATAAACCGACTTCAAAAAGGAGGAGGTACTCAATTCGACTGTATTTTTTATGTGTGTTTAACTCATAACTTTATTGTAGGTAAACCGATTTTGATGATTCTTTTTTTGATGATGATTTTCATGCGTATGAAACCGCACCAAAATCATCATCAATAAATTTGATCAAGGTCTGACCAGTAGTTTTTGAGTTATCCTTAATCATTTATATTGAAGTCGGTTGTACAGTTTTTTTTAATTTTACCACTTGCAAAATGTAGAGAAACCCATCATTAATAGAATTTTACGATACCCACGAAACGAGAGGCGTTGGATTATCATCCACACGGCTTAGTTCTAATGAAGAAATAGTTAAGTTTCATTATTTTTTTATTATAATTTGTAGTTTTTAAAACCTCAAATAAGTTTTGAAGAAACCTTTAATTTAACAAGTGGTAAAATTAAAACTGACTTCAATATAAATATAATTTATTGTTGATTTTTTTAAAACCGCTCGACCGATTTCGATAAAATTTAAATGGGATTACCTGGAAAGTATACCCTTTGAAACAAAAAAAGAATTTTCCAAATCGGTTCAGGCGTCTTCGTTTAATCTGTTAACATACATAAAAAAAGATTCCGAAGAATTGTAAACCTCCTCCTTTTCGAACTCGGTTGAAAAGGATTTCCGAGCAATTAATGTGTTGCCACGACATATGTATCTTAGACATGGTGCTTCACTAATGGCCTGGTCGTACTAGGAACCTATGAAGGAAACTAAGAAGAGAGCTGTGCTCGGAGTTTCACTTCGTAATAGCCTACGTAATAAACCTAGCAAGCTAACAGCATAGCAAAGTGGCGAAGCAATCAGCTTTATAGCAGTTTCTAACGGTTGCCCTTGAGCAATCAGTTTCAAAATAGGAGGTTCAGATGCCTGGGTGATCAGTAATCGATTGCTGAAAAGAGAATTTGAAAATTGAAAACCGTTCTCGAGATAATCGTGGGACAGACGGACAGACATCGTGAAATCAATAAGTGACTTCGCAAGCTTCGCCACTTCATAAGGACAACCGCAGTAAACCAGAGTAACATATAGGTTTTCGAGCAGCAGACATGGTTTTGTGATACGACCGAAGGTTTATACTTTGCGGGTAATATTTCTATTATTCTATTGTAAAATGTAAATTACTAAAATCCAGGAAAGGCTAGATAGTCCTTTTGTATTTAAACAGCAACTCTGGGTCTGTAAACTTATGAAATGGAGATGCGTGGTGACCTCTCATGAATTTTAATACCTACGTACATGAAGGCCTGTATATACGTGGTAGAGCCATGCTGCAGCTATATTTCTGGTATAGTTGTAACACGAATGGGTCGGCTCGACCGGGGAAGGACCACGCTCTCACAGAATACCAACGTAAAATAGCAGCTTAATGCTGCTGTGTTTCGTATGGTAAGTGTAGAGAACCGGAGACCCTTTTTACTGGAAACGAGGCATTCCTTCTTAGTCCTCACGGGTAACAACGCATCTGCATTTTGATTCCTCATCGAGGATAAATGTAGATGTCTATGGGCCACAGCAACCACTTACCATCAGGTGGACTGTGTGCTCGTTTGTCACCCTTATCCTATAAAAAAAGGCAGGGCCCTTTTCAACCGACTTCTAAAAGGAGACAGTACTCAATTCGACTGTATGTTTTATGTGTGTTACCTCATGACTTTTTACTGTGTGAACCGATTTCGATGATTCTTTTTTTATTTGAAAGCTGGTGATTCACGTGTGGTCCCATATAAATTTGATTAAGGTCTGACCAATAGTTTTTGAGTTATTCTTAATAATTTACATTGAAGTTGGTTGTACAAATTTTTTAATTTTTAATTATAAGTTTTTAGATTAATTTTTTATTTTTATTTCTTCACGCACAATCCCTGACGGGGTAGCCAGAGAGAACAGATCGCCAAGTGTCACGATCCTTACATTCCTCTTTCGCTTCTTTCAGATTCATTATCTTCTTCATACATGCACGTCTAGGTATCCGAGTACTCTTGACCCTACCCTCTTCGAGCAATTTGCTCACATGGTCTTCGAAAGTTAGTCTCGGTCTACCTCGACACCTTTTAATATTAACTTTCGCGCTATATATTTTCTTCACCATTCGGTCTTCATTCATTCGCTCAACGTGCCCAAACCACCGAAGCACGCCCTTATCAATTTTTGTGATAAGGTCATCTTTCTAACCTGCCATATTGCGAATCTCTTCGTTTAGCTTTCGGTCGGCCATAGTAACGCCGCACATTTTACGAAGAGATCGCATCTCCACTGCATTCAACTTACTTTTATGCTTCTTCTGGCATACCCAGGTTTCGCTGCCATATAACAAAGTCGGTACCAACACTGCGTTATGTATTGCAAGGCGTGCACTCTTCGCTACGCCTTGCCTTTTGACTAACGCAGTCAGGGCACCATTGACTTTGTTCCCGGCAGCGACACGCCTGTCCACATCTAAATCACATCTTCCATCCCGGCTAAAAGCACTCCCCAAGTATACAATTTCATTTACCTGTTCTAGACATTCCTGATTTACCCATATTTCACACTTCGTTCTCTCTTCGTCCCTTTCAAATACCAGAACCTTAGTTTTATTAGCATTCAAACGGAGACCTTTAATTTCACATTCCTCTTTCATACACGTGACTAATGCCTGCAGTTCTGCCTCTGATGGTGCAATAAGCACTGCATCATCAGCATACAGCAGACAATTTACTTTTATGTCACCCAATTTCACACCCAAACAGCTATCTTTCAGCTTTTGTAAACAGCTGTCGAGATACAGTATGAACAGCCAGGAAGACATGACACAACCCTGTTTTACGCCCGTTTGGACGCTAAACATGGGTGACAGGTCATGCCCTACCCGCACACAGGCTTTACAGTCACAGTAAAGAGACTGCACAGCCCTTAGCAATCGGCCATCCACACCATACACCGGCAACAGTTCCCACATTTTCTTCCTTACAACCTTATCAAATGCTTTCTCAAGATCCACAAAAGCACAGAAAATCTTCTGGTTAACAGCCAGAAGCTTTTCCGTGATCATACGGAGAGAAAACATTTGATCCGTGCATCCTCTTCCAGGTCTAAATCCGCATTGTGCCTCCCATAGAAATCTTTCCGATTTCTCTTGCATCCTACGTGTCAAAACCTTCGAGTAAACTTTACTTGCTAAACTGGTCAAGCTGATCGCCCGATAGCACCCGCAGTCAAAATGTGAACCTTTACCTTTATATAAAGGCACAATGACTGCGGATCGCCAATCATCCGGGACATCCCCCGTCCGCCAGCACAAATTGCACAGCAGATGAAAGCTGTCCCAGACGCGAGGCCCACCATACTTGACCATTTCAGCAGTAACTCTGTCTAGTCCCGCAGCCTTACCACATTTCAAACTTCGAATCGCACGTTCAATCTCTTTCATACGGATGACCTCAGTGTCATCGAGGTCCGGGTCTGGCGTACCAGTCACGGCGTCATCCCCGGATCCCTCACTAAGATCATCACACGCATACATTTCTCTATAAAATTCGCTCCATCGCTGCATGACGTCCGATTTTTCTGAGAGGACGTCATTAGTTCTCGAAAGCACTTTGTTCATTCTTAAGGCCGTCGCACCACTTCGGGTCCTTCCAACCTCTTTCCAGAAGAGTTTGGAGTTCTCCTTAAAGTTGTGCGACAACCTTTTGACAATTTTTTGATACTATAAAATTAAAAGTGTTAAGTATTAACTGCTACTATAGTTGTTATGGCAAACGTACTTGATTATGAATACATGTACATGATAAAATGTGTAAATAGTAAAAAAATGAGATGAGATCAGGGAATTGACATACCAATTTTCTTATCAAGCCCGTACTCAATGTTTACTTTCGCCGCTGCTTTTTTCAAAATTCCCATTGCCACGATTACTGGATACTGAAAAATTACATAGAACAATTTTCAATAGATATAAAATCGAAAATAGGCATAAACATTTCTTGTTTTATGGAAATTCCTACTGTTGTGTTTGTTTCAAACAACAGAATGAGAATTTGAAAGGCTAAAATTACAATGAATTCAAAAGGTAACATATAAAAAATCCAACTACTAATCGTATCAATATTATAAATGTTTATTTGGATGTTTGTATGTTTGTGACTCCATCACGTAAAAACTATTGACCGATTTTGATGCAAAAATGATGAAATAGTTCTTGTCTATCCATGCATTAAAAAAAATCATCGTGTTTTTTTATTAAATAAGTGAGAGGATAGATGATATAAGTACACAATAGATACGGCGTTTGTATCTAATATGTGAAATGTTTTTCTTTCTTTCTTTCTTTGGTAATGGGCTCGTATTGTTGTATTTTTGCCAGTGTGAAATAATAAGAAATTATCTTTTATAATATTATGTTCAAAATTTTGTTACACGTGACATCGATGCGTTGCATTGTGAAGTTTTTGGGAGATTATGGTGGCATCTAGAGCCAGCAGATGATCGATGATGATAGTATCTCAAGGCTCACATCACCATCGGAGTACTTGTTTCATCATTCCCACTAATAGTTCACATGCGCCGATATTTAATAAATAACGTGAAATGCACTACAAACCATTATTTAAACGATAAAACAGATCAAGTTCCCGCCATAACTCCAATGTTTAATGTAAGGATTGTAAAAGTTGCAGGCTATATTAGGGAGTGGACTGTGGACTATACTACTAGGTAAAGTGAGAAATCTGTTTCACCAGTTTCTGTTCCTTTGAAATAACAGTTCCAGTCGCCTCTTCCAAAATAACCGACTATTATCTAGTAATAAAGTTTCGATAGAAACTGTCTTAAAACTGTACCATGTATCCCTGTTACATCTGCCTTGTTTCAGTTACTATTGTTGTGGAACTATCTCTACACACTCACTACCAAATCGTTCTACAAATTCTCTTTGTCGTCATCAGAGATCACTTTTCACCTAGGTAACGTCGCTAAGGAAGAACATAGAAGAGCTTGTTCCAACTTGTTTCCACCGTGTTTTCGAGCATTGTTTACTCGTGAAACTGTATAACAATTTTAAAAAACCTATGGTTTTTCCTGTTACGAAGAACACGCCTCACTCCTGACATTAAACCACCACTGCTTGATGGGGAGCTTCCCTGGATTCTGAGATGGTAATGGAATAGTTTCCCTGCCGTAGTGTACTGTCCCGGACCTCGAAATACATTTTCTTAGTCTTAGTCTTTTAAAAACGTTACCCCCGCACTAGGATTTTCTCCTGTGTCTTGGAGGCAGTTTACAAACATAAATTGCACAAGGACAAACATCCAGACCCGGAACAATTATTTATAGACCATACAAATGCTTGTTCCGTGCGGGATTCGAACCCGCGGCCCCCAGCTCAACAACTGATTGCTAAGCCACTGCGCCACGGAGCCGTCAAACATTTTATTTCTCAGATATTAATTTGTGTCGGCGCGAATAGAACTCGTGTACTGTGAGATTTACGGCGAGCGCTTTGCGCCCGAACTAATTTGGCTATTGCGAGGTAAAGTAAGATCTACTTCATTTCTTCTCCACTCTTGTTGACGGGTTGCGGGTTTGCGCTATACCGCCTACGGTTTTCCTGTAAATGTGGGCGCACAGTGGCGGGTTCGATATCTTTGTCGTAAACCATCAAAGTTTGCATGTATTACACCCCCATGAAGCTATTTATTGGGGAGGTCTATTTTCAGCAGTGGACTTTTATAGTTATAGGTTGTGCAGGATGGATGGATACAGTGAAAGTAATATGTACTGTATACCATTTTATTACACACAGACCTAAGTAACTTTGAGCGCATGGGCTCTAATGCAGACGATCAAATCTTGGCGTCTCTTCAAGTACGTAGTACATAGTTCAATTGATGGATGGAGCATGCAAATAAACATTTCTTATGTGATTTCTATCATTTAGATAAATAAGCTGAAGTGTGAATGGACCGGCCGTATAGCTCGAACAACTGACAACCGATAGGAAAGAAAAGTTTTCGGGTGAAGTTCGTACAGGTACGAAGAGTAGGACGGACTCACACTAAAACAAGCGACGATCTGGTAAGACATGCAGGACCGTGCTTTGTGGGATTTTTAGGGGCCATTGTTCAACAGTGACTTGTGAATGTCTTATATTTACCCGAATACTACACATTAAATGAAACTAATTTTAAGGACTTCATCGCGTTTAATTTCAACTTTTTAATTCCCGACTTTTCGGGCGCTTTGACTCATGGTCACAGAAGTGGCTGAGTTGTTTGACGTCCTGATGTTATAGTTAACAAAAGCTACCTAATATATAAAAGTTAAAGGTAGCCTTTCTTAAAAAGCGCCCGAAACGGCTGGAATTAAAAAGTTAAAATTGAACGCATTAAAACTTAAAGGATGTATTGATGATGATGATGATGATGGTGGTGGTGGTTATGATGATGATGGTGGTGGTTGTGATGCTGATGATGGTAGTGATGATGATGATGATAATGATCTTAATCTTTATATGTAATTTCAGGCTTTATCATAGATAACAGACATAACATAAAAGAGAAGGGTAAATTAAAACGCAATGGCGCGTGAGTTGCGACAAGGTTGAATGTGTTAGCAGGTACATGCAACTCGCTTTACTCTGTCAATGACCCAATGGGTGCAAGGTACTTGCAAACACCTATATAGATATATTGGCAATTTTTATGCATAATGATATTGTCAATTGTAATTTTGAGTGCTGATTTATTACGTGATAAGTGGTAAGGAAAATCTTTATGAGGAAACGTGCTTATCGGAGAACTTAATATCGAGGGTATGTAAAATTTGCCAACACCGGCAACACGCACTGGAGCAACGCATAGGACTAATTGATTTTCAACCGACTTCAAAAAAAGGAGGAGGTTCTCAATTCGACTGTATTTTTTTGGGTGTCACCTCAGAACTTTTTTCTAGGTGAACCGTTTTAAATGATTATTTTTTATTTCAAAGCTGATGCTTCTCATGTGGTCAAATTTTATCAAGATTTGACAAGTAGTTTTTGAGTTATCTTTAATTGATATCGACTACATTGATGATGTTCTCATTTTATTTATATTGAAGTTGGTTGTACAATTTTTTTTTAATTTTACCACTTGTTTTTATTTTGGTATGAATTATGCGGAATAAAGGTTCTCGGGTGGCAGCCTCTTACTGGAAATCACAGCGTTAAGCGATCCCCTACTAGATGAAGTTATAACGTTATGAAACACGCAGTTAGTTGAAGGAAGCATGTTGTTCTTGTCCGTAGGTACTTTGTCACAATCTGAACGGGAAACCTATGTTCAGCGGTGGTGGTTAATTATTATTTTATCGTTGACGATTTTCCGTATTACACGGCCTAATCTCTTGGCTTATGGGATAGATAGGTGGATTAGGTGTAATCTTCTCATTGATGCCAAGTGTGGAACTTTACAGACCGTCCACAGGGGAGCAGCGTTCACATTGCTGAGGAGAAGGGAAGGGACAGGGGCGGGCCGTGAATTAGTGGGGCCCTGGACCAACACTAATTGCGAGCATACCTAATTAATCAAAGTAATGGCCATTTTATCAAAAAAACTATTTTCTTTATTATACTGGTGTATCTCTTTTTGAAAATTAACTTTCTCGTCCTCATTTTCACTAAAACTTATGAAATTTTCGTAATATCGTCAAAATTATTTTTAAAGCTTTGATATCCATTGTCTTCAATGGTTGAGGGTCCTTTATATCCATGGGGACCTGGGCTGCAGCCTAAAAAGCAAATTTTGAAACGAAATAGTACATAGCATTTTGAAATTTATTTCCATTGGGAAACGTACAGATTAGATACAAAACCAAAATAGGGTAGGACGTTTTCCCGAGAAATCTTTAACACTCGAGGAATCCGCAGGAAATATCGCGAAGAGAGGCGCAGTTCGACGTGTTATATTTCTCCTTCTGCTTCACATATGAGCAGAATTAAAGTAATATCCAAGCCCATCATCCCAGTCAATTTTAGATTCTGTGATGTGATTGGCTCTACAATTGAACACCCTTGCCTGCCACAAATTAAAGTCCCGATAATTCTCGAGCATTCTCACGACTTCATGAGTACCTTGACAAAATTGACGCTTCCCTCCCTTACCTTCACTTTCGTGGCGATATGATTTGACCCCGTAAGTGCCTATGTTAGCGTGAACACTTATGGAACTTTAACATTTCCTTTGACATAAATCCCAAAAAAAAAATTAAAGAAAAAAAAAACATTTCCTGCACAGCTGATAGCGTTCGTAAGATAGAATTGCCGACGGAAAACGGCCAGACGGACAAAAATCATCTATAACATTATTTATCCACATCACTTCATTTTCATATGAGAACTGTACTAACACTAATACTACAGAAAAATCATTAAAGGTTATACGCACCGGCATCCGTTCCTCGATGCCGCCGATGGGGAAGTTCATGACGGACCGTACAGTTTGCGCTCCATACAACTTGTCATCCGGAACGTCGAGCTCTCCGAAGGTATCGCGTTCCTTCCTCTGGAAAAGAAAAATTTATAAGCATTTTCTGTTTTTTTTTTCATTTAAGAAAAACATATATGATGAAACACATATGAGAAATTCAAAATTGAATTATCCCACATAATGCCGAAATTGTTTCCCCTAAAAAAAATTACCAAAATTCTATTGAATAGACACAAAGTTCTATTAAGGCCTTACACAATAATTACAACGATATCAGATTTTATACTGGTGCAATATTTTTATTTTTTACTTTTAAGTCAGAAATATTTTGAGTGAAAACAATCGATTTTTAAAAAAAATGTAGTAAAAAGTAAAAACTTTAATTTCTTTTAGTTTTAACTCCGACTGCTGAAGCTGTTACGTGGAAATTATTTCATTCTTTATAGTTCTTTGAAGTCGGCGTTTCCTTTTATTAAAATTTAATTTTTTTAACTCTTTTGAGTGGCTAAAGGAACATCACAAGCTCAAGGATAAAACTGAATGTCGACTAAATAATTAGTAATTACATTAAAAACTTCATCACCTATTTTTCCACCATTATGGGTAAGAAGACAATCGTTTTTGGGCCCACTAGAAGTTATATTAATTATAGAATAACTTAATTTTATTTCAGATAATAAAAGATACCAATTTAATATAGTAAGCGGCCTATATATATATATATATATATATATATATATATATATATATATATATATATCATGAAATCTGAAAAGTTGTTTTGATATTTGTGTTCTGGCTAAAGTAATATGAAAAAAAAATACGCGTAACGAAGAACGAACTACAAAAAAAGGATTTTCCATCAATTTTTGTTTTATGCTATTAATTATTGACCAGTGCACTATTTTAACTTATGATACCGATGAAAACTTCTAGACACTCGCTTTTAGTTTGTTTTTAAGTTATTGTGTTATTCATATCTTAATAGTTAATTACTCAGTATTCTCTTTAGATACGGTAAAACTTATATTACTATTGTATTACATAAATTATGGGGAATAAATCGACATGTATTTCATTAAGTTACGCCACAATTTGTGGTAGGCCCATTCTTCATACAAAAAGAAATAGTCTCCTTTTTGTAGAACCACATTTGCTAGCATGGACTGGGGACAATTTTCTCCCCGGGGAAAGGAGAAAATGTTTATCCCCTCGCTTAGTTTTATCCACCCTTCGAGCATAGGCACACCGGTAGATATAATATCCACAGTAGATAAAATGGGAGATAGACTTAGATTTTTTGTATGAATATAAATTTAAACCCACGTCCAATAAACTAGGATAAAATTGTCCCTTTCAAATGTCAAAAAAGTATAATTTTTTATCTTTCATTTGGCTCCATGCTACGGACGGTGGATATATGTGTACTCTATATGTCAAACAGGGATATATATACTCCTCCCCGTTGCCGTGCTTTGTCATAAGGACAAGATAATTTGATCTCTTGTCAGTGGATATAATCAGGGGATAATTTTTTTGTACCCAGCCCATGCTAGCTGTGCTGAAGTATTTTTTTATTAATCAATCAATTTTAATTTTTGCCAGCTCCGTGGCTCGAATCCCGCACGGAACAAGTATTTGTATGGCCCACGAAATAATTGTTCATGGTCTGGATTGTCCTTGTGAAATTAAAGTACGTAAACCGCCACTACGACACAATAGATAATCCTAGTGAAGATTTGGAAAAAAAAATTAGGTACCAAAGATATGTCCGTTTCTTACAGACCTATTACAGAATAATTTTATCTGTTATTTACGAGAAACCGCTGCCGCGACTACCTGTTCGGTGGCGGTGGTTTGTAGAATTGATAACATACTTCATATTGTTTATATCGAGAATTCGAGGCTGACTGCTAGTTGATGAAAACTGCCACCGCGATAATATATCAGGTTTTTCCAGCTATTGGGTAGTAGCTCTGTTCCTGACGTTTCAATTTGCTTGTACATATTATATCAAAATTGATATTTTTCTAATTGGTTATTTCTAATTTATATATGACATTTGACTTAGAAGCTTTGGTAACAAAAATATCGCCAGGATTTTTTTAAATTCAATATAGAATATAAGTAATACTTATTGAAAAACATTTTTATGTTTAATTCATCACTGGTTCGAAAAAAAAACTTTGTTCTGGGAGGAATCAGTAGGAAACGCAGCACGTCTTTAACTAAAAGAAGAACAATTTACAATAATTATTTACCTATAATTGATATTATTTTGATTCTTATTTGAGGATAGATGCATACGGGTCTGAGCATTCATATCGTTCAGGTGAACTGTGTGTTCCTTTGTCACCCTTATACAATAAAATAAGCTGTTCATACATTGGATCGTCATTAAGTTTTAGAAACTAAACTTCGTTTTAGTTATTATTATTTCAGTGGATTTGCCGTAGAATGAAGCTGGTTTCTAAGTGACATACACAAATAAAATAATACATGGATATAACTCTTAACAACTGATCTTTCTTTTTCTCCTGTAACGTAGAGCCGTTTTACACACAAATTAAACATAGGTACATCTTAGACGAGGATCTAGAAATTTGTAGGCCTTAAAAAACCCTAATTCTGTCGCAGTGCTGCCGCTAAACATTTGCAGCTATGTCATTGCGCTACCGTCAAATTATCTATCATATTTTTTCCGTTATCTAAGGTGACAAACGAGCACACAGTCCACCTGATGGTAAGTGGTTGCTGTGACCCATAGACATCTACATATATCCGCAAAATGCAGATGCGTCGTTACCCGTGAGGACTAAGATGGATTGCCTCTTTTGCAGTAAAATATGTCTCAGGTTCTCTGCACTCAACATATGAAACACAGCAGTGTCAAGCTGCCATTTTACGCTTGTATTCTGTGAGAGCGTGGTCCTTTCCCGGTCGAGCCGACCCATTCGTGCTACAACTATGCTACTAATAAAGCATGATGCATATACAATAAAGCTGCAGCATGACTCTACCGCGTTATCTTAAAAATATCCTCACAAAATATTTATAATCAGTTGCATAGATTAGATACAATGACCGACGTCTGTACAGATATTGAGGAATCTTGATGAATGATCTGCGTCAATATTGATTGCAAGCGATTTTAAATTGATAAATGGAGATTCAAGGAAAAGTAAAGTCACAGTCCATTACTACTGTTGAGGATAACCTTAGAATATAACATAAGCATAGCTTGCTTATGTATACTCTAAAAGTAATAATCCTTCTCTCATTTTTGGGAGCGTTAAGAAGCAGTTAGCTTACCGCTGTGTTCTAGTATATTAGCGAACTTCATATGTATTCAAAAACACTAAATGCCTCATACACAGGTATTTTTTGTCTATAAAACTGATGTAACAAACAAACTTACAGTCTATCAAGTAGCTACTGCAGTCCAAAGACACTTGCAGCCAATTCAAAAAAAAAAAACTACAGATGCTAAACTACTAAAAGTGCCGACCAGAACGCAGAAAGCACTGCTACTGTCATTCAGACGGACTTCTTGGCAGAATAGTAGTCCTACCACCAGTAGCAACATTTTCTCACGATGTTTTCGTGCACTTGGTGAAGCAGCACTTATAATTGTTGACGAGAATTGGTCGCGCGGGTTGCTCGCATACCTCGGCAAACACTTCTTGAACCCTGAACTACATTGACTTACTACTTATTAGTGTGTCGACTTACGAATATTTAATGCTGACTTGTAGACCTTTGCTATTGAAAAGTAATCGAATGAATCATCATAAATAATCAAGATCAATATATTAACGTGAAACTATAAACGTTTGTATAGTTTAAACATGGTGTATTAATTATATGCAGCATGAATGAAAGACTTGATTGGATAGATTAAAACAAGTCAAAATACGTATAACTTTTTAACAAACAGAAATAAATTAGTTTAAAATTATTTAAACATAGCAGTAAGTTCAATCAGTTATTTATGTCGTTGAGGTTATCGGCGGCGTAAATAACTGATATAATCAAGTACGCAATCAATAAAAGAATTATTCAATTATACGTCTTGATACCTGATTATAAAGTTCATTATAAGAATCAGGCAGATCAAATCAATACAGAAGGTATCACATGTCGTCAAACGGCCTGTGGCGTAATTCTACAACAGTAAGCAAAGTGCTAACTCTACGCGAATTCGTTATGGAATTTTTCACTTACCATTTTCACCGGTTTACCCTCTTGATTCGTGCAAACCGTACACGCCATTTCTATAAATTTGATTCACAACAATAAACTTTAATAGAAAAAAACTCGTACAAAAATGACAGTATCAAATAGGTTATAATTATGTCAAACTCTAAAAAGAATAAAAAGCCGCAGCATGTATAGCCAGTGTCTTTTTATTTATTTAAAAAAAACTAGAGTTAAGCCGATAATGCACAATTTGGAATTGCGAATTCGCGACTTTTACTACAGTATTGAAATACACAACTGAATACCGTCGCGCAACTATTGGAAAGAAGTCAAGTCAAACTAAGGAAACCAGTCTGCGTCCCCTCCAAGAAATTACGGACAGGGCCGACTCGCGAACTATTTTATAGTACGCTTATCGTTGTATATGCGGCTGCACACATCAAACAGCGTGGGCGAACTGATTTCAAATGCGGTCAAATTATTCGATGGTAGCACGATAACAATATCAATATTTGGAATAAAATTATTAATTTTGGTCCGATCTACGCGTAGTAATTAAAAGTTGAAGATAGCCTTCGTTAACTATGAGAACTGGATGACAAACACCTCAGTACCTCCCGTGACCATGGGCGCTGGAAAAGTGCTCGAAACGTCGCGAATTAAAAAAATTAAAATTAAACGCGATAAAATCCGTAAAATTAGTTTTATTTCATATGTAGTACCGTAAAATGGGGTGAATAGACACAACTATCAACTTCTACACTGTTTTTCTTACATATATTGTATATAAGCTGATAATAAAACACTTTAATGTTGTGAGTCTTGTTGTAGTTTATCGAATAAAAGAATTATTCAAATATACGTCTTGATTCGTC